TGTGTGCTTCTCAGCTTGAGTTCAAGATGACCTTAACAACTCAGGTCCTAGACAGTCTGGAGCCTCTTCCTCTTGAACTGCGTTTTCTCCAAGACTGCCTCATTGATAAACTTTGTAAAAGATGTCACCTGCTGCTAGTTGAATAATTTCATCTTGGTTTTATTTATAGGTCTTCTTGTTCCTCTTTTTAAACAGTGAGCTAACCACCAATACAGTATCCATAATGTAAACTATTGCAAGATAATAAAGTACCTAGAATGTTCTAATTTCATCTCACTGCACAGAGAGTAAAAGATAAAACAGGCTCATAATCAAATAGTTCTGATATAAACGGGGAAAGGAATAGGATGAGAAGTAGAAAGAAAGCACTTTCTGATGGTGATCCTTTGTAGCATCTGGAGTAAAATGGATGCGGACACTGCAGTGTTTTGGCACCTTGAATCCCACTGTGGGAGAAAGGTGGGATATAAATCCTGGAAATAAAATAAATAAATAAATAAATAAATAAATATGGTGGCATAGGAAGCCATATCTGTTGAACAGTTTGGAAGCCGACAGGACAGCTTTGTTAGGGGAGGAAGTGGCTTTCTTTTCCATTCTTCCACCATCACTGCCAACCATTCCAATATGTGCCTTATACTGGCTGGCTTAATGGGCATTGAATTGGCATAAGTCACCAACAGGATGCCAGCTTCAGTAAATTTAATAGCAAGACTTTGTTATTATTTGTTTTTATTATTATTTATATATAGGCTGCATCAATAGAAGTATAGTGTCTAGTACCACTCTATTCCACTTTGGTTAGGCCTCATCTGGAATACTGCATTCACTTCTGGGCACTGCAGTTCAAAAAGGATGTTGAGAAACTGGAGCATGTCCAGAAGAGGACAACCAAAATGGTGAAAGATCTGGAAACCATACTCTATAAAGAACGGTTTAGGGAGCTGGGTATGTTTAGCCTGGGGAAAAGGTTACGAGATGGCATGAAAACTATGTTTAAATATTTGAAGGAATGTCATATGGAAGAAGGAGCAAACTTGTTTTCTGTTGCTCCAGAGACTAGGTCCACAGATCAGTGGATGCAAACTACAGGAAAAGAGATTCCACCTCAACATTAGGAAAAACCTCCTGATTGTGAGAGCTATTGGACAGTGGAATACTCTGCCTCAGAGAGTGGTGGAGTCTCCTTCATTGGAGACTTTTAAGCAGAGTTTAGATAGTCATCTGTCAGGGGAACTTTTATCGTGTGTTCCTTCATGGCAGGGGGGTGAACTGGATGGCCCTTGCTGTCTTTTCCAGTTCTATGATTCTAAGGTTGGTTTACCTAATTCTTATAGGATCAGGCTTCCTATTGAGGGCACATATCTGTCACTCTTGTTTATTGTGCCATCAGTGCAAGCAAAGCATTCTATTTACTTCCTTTGCTGATTGTTCTACAGCAGATCCTCTTCTGTATAAAGTAGACACTCCAGGCTAATGTAAGTCATGCTCTGCTTTGGATAACTACAAGACATTCAAATTCAAAATGTATTCCCAGGGGGTGGGGAGGGGAAGGGAAGGGAATGCAGTTGAAAAAGAAGTATTTCACAGCACAATTCTGTCCTTTTCAGCCCAGAAATAAACTACCAAGGTAAGAGTGTATATATAGCATTGGTGGAAATTGTGTCCCTCTGCCAAGTGTCGTTGAGTTGCAAGTCCCAGCATTTCCAGCCAGTATATCAATAGTGAGGTATGCTGAGTTGCAGTCAAACAACATCTGGTTGCATCATCCATCCATCCATACCTTTATTCTGCCTTTCTTCCAAACTGGGACCCCCATCCCCGAAAATTGCAAGTACACTCAGTGCAAGTATGAACGACCCAGAAATAACCATATTTCCACACCAGGTTATTTCATAATGTGAATGAGCCCTTAGCTTCCCTGGGGAAAGACTTCCAAAATATGGGAGCAGCCGCAGCCACAAGAATGTCTTGACCCATGTTCCCACCAACCATGCCTCTGAAGGCTGTGGGATAGAGAGACATGCCTCCCCTATAAGACCGTAAAGCTCAGGCAGGTTCATATGGGAAGATGAACACTCTAGTTGAGGTCTACTCTAGTTGAGGCTGACCAATAGGATTTAAACCATAGTGTGAAGTTAAACATCTCTTCTGTGTATGTGCCTTCAAATCACCAGTCAACTTATGATGGACCCATAGAGTTTTCTTAGTCAAGGACTATTTGGAGGTGGCTTTGCCAGTTTCTTCCTCTGAAATGTAGCCTACAGCACCTAGAATTCATTGGCAGTCTCTCATCCAAGTACTAATATAGCTTCCAAGTTCAGACGGGATCTGGTTCCTTAGGGGAGATTATTTAATGTTGTCTCCTACAACTTCCTTCTTGACATAGTCTTCCCATGTGCAAGTTTTTTTAAGGACTCCACTGTCACCTATAGAAGAGTTGCAGGTAAATTGCATTGAAATCAGGAGTCTTATGTAAAAGTAATGATGTTTAGGATTGTACCATGCATAGAATAATCTTAGTAGTTGACTGGCCAAATGTTGCTGTTACTATTTTTCACCAGTATTGTCTAGAAAGAGAGCCAGCATGGTATAGTGGTTTAAGTGTTGGACTACTTCTCTGGAGACCAGCGTTCGAATCCCTGCTCTGCCAGGGAAACCTACTAGCTGACCTTAGGCAAGTCACATGTTCTCAGCCTCAGGGGGAGGCAAAGGCAAAGGCAAACTCCTTCTGAATAAATCTTGCCAAGAACACCCCATGATAGGTTTGTCTTAGGGTTGCTATAAGTCAGAAACAACTCAGATCCATATAACAACATTGCCTAGAACCTTTTATGACAGAGAGATTAAATTTTGAGCTGGACATCAGACAATGATCCTTGTGGATCCCTGTCAGTGATTTCTTTCTTTTTTTTTCTTTTCTTATATTCAACTAGAGAGAAAAGCAACGAGGAAACATAGACTCTGATTCACATAACAGTGAAACTGAAACATCATGTTTGTATAACCAATTCCAATTCATTTTTAATAGAAACATGAGCTCTGCTGGCCCTGAAGGGAGGAAAAAGATGAGAGAATGTGATGGATTGATTGAATCATTGGTGTATTACATCCAAGGAACCACAGCAGATCATCAGCCAGATGATAAGGTAGCTTGTTCAAATGAATGAGTTTTCTGAGTCTAGAAATGGGTGACATTGTTATTTAAGCTGGAATGCATTGGTGTGCCACACTAGCATTAAAATAATTTGAGCAGGCAGTTGTATTTTCTCAGCAGTTGTGTAGTCACCAAACCTCATACAGCCAACAGTTTTGCAAGCACACCGACATCCCTTTCTCTTACATTTAACTTGGTGAATGGGAACTAATAATCTATTGTGCACTAAGTGAGCTCAAGACTTGTTGGCACTCATTATGCAGCATAATCCACCTTAACTACACTGACACATATTAATATCTATGAATTTAATTCATAATTGTACTTTGATTAGTTATTATTAAATGCACTTATTTATTGTTTATATATAAATGACTCTTAAGTGCTTTTAAATTGGTATTAATGTGATATTGACTATGTTATTAAACCAAAGGGAACAAAACTAGTAATAAAATTGACTTCCCATTCATTGTTGTAGTTGTTGATGTGTACATTTCACAACATATTTTATCCTCTATGTTAACTGCCAAAAAATTAATTTCAGCTATGATCCTATGTATGTCAGATATAGGTGTTATAATGGAGCTCCGTCATTGTAGTTATGTCTGGCTGTGGCACCCTCCAAAACCTACTTTTTCAGCCTGGCAGCACTCCAACTTAGGGTTGCCTAGCTCTGCAGATCAGGGCACTAAGAAATAGCTGGAGAGACCACTCAAGCTCCAACTACAACTGCTTGTCTCAATGCCTTCCATGGCCAGGAGAGCACTGTAGACATCATTTCCCAGAACCCCAATCAGCAGTGCCTCAGAAAAATTATCAGCTGGGATGATTCCATGCTGAAAAGGTAAATTTCATGTGTCATGTTGTGTTGTTAGTAACTATAAACATGACTCCTCAGCAGTTATAATGGGAGTTGATCATTCATGGGTTTTGATATCCGTGAGGGGTCGTGGAAGCAAACCTCTGAATAAGTGGCCCACTTATCATCAACATCATCATCATCATCTAGAACAGGGGTAGGCAACCTTTCCCCTTTAAGGGCCGAGGGACTTCAGCTCCCAGAACCCTCAGCCATGTTGGCCAATAGTCCCATGTTGGCCAATAGCTCCTGGGATTCTGGGAGCTGAAGTCCCTCGGCCCTTAAAGGGGAAAGGTTGCCTACCCTTGATCTAGAATTTAGCTACTGAACAGGATGCCAGCCAGTGTTTTGAAGGCTAATCTTAAATAGCTAATCTGGTGGATTTGGTGCATCTGAAATGTATTTTCAAGATAATGATCAGATTTTTTGGAAAAATGAAACTGTAAAAAGCCATTCATCTCAGTGTCCCCTACTGCCAAGAAGACCTCATGATAGGTTTGCCTTAGGGTTGCCATAAATCAGACACAGCTTGAAGGCACATAACAACAAACCTGTTCAAGAATCCAGAGTTCTATGTGAGACATAAAGTAATTGAGGGCACTTTTCATCTCAGCTATCACTGGAGAAAATCATATCAATAGTGCAACATGCTGCATTCTGTGAAAAGCCTCCAAAAAGGCCAAGCATACAAATGCCTGAAAGTACTGTGTATTACAGGTCTTTACTTGTCTCTTCCTATTGTTTACACAGACAGAATAATGGATATTTCTTCATTCTTTCAGGCCACAGAGAACTGTGTGTGTATTCTTCATAATCTTTCCTATCAATTAGAGTCTGAGCTTCCTAGTAGTTATACCCAGCATATCTATATGCAAAGAAGAGATGTTCCTTCCAATAACAACAGTATTGGATGCTTTGGAACCAAGAGCAGAAAAGCAAAGCAGGTAATGGTCAGTGTTGTTGTTGTTCTTACAGTTGGCCTTCCACATTTACGGCTTTGACTTTTGTGGATTTGATTATTCACAGATTTGATTAATATATTCTTTCTAGGAATCTCTAGCTCCTCCAGTGCAACTCTGTGGCCAACTTTCACTAGACGTTGCTCTGGAAGCTGTAGAGATTCCTAGAGAGAACACTTCTCTAGGCATTTGTAAGTCCTCCAGCCCAATTGTCTGGTCAACCTCCAGCAGATGCTGACCATAGCATTGCACTGGAAGATCTAGGGATTCTCAGAGATGTGTTTTTTCAGGTTAAAAAAATATGAGTTGCAGTTTGTCTATTTTCATGGGGGTCCTTTGTCCCTAACCCCAGCGAATGTGAAGGGTCCACTGTATCAATAGTAGTAGTAGTAGTAGTAGTAGTACAATCAGCCCTCAGAATTAGGGAGCAGGCAGGTGTGAAGTGAGGGCCAAGTAAAGTTTTCTTCCATATAAGCAAAGCATTACAGAGATGGTAATTATCCTTATGCAGTCTTTATTGTGTAAATAGGCCCAGAAGCTGATGAAAGGCTTTCCCTCCATCCCAACTGTAAGGAAGAGAAGAAGAGGCAGTTACTGATGGACTTAATCCCATCCCCTACTGACTCTGGAGAACAGGGTTCAAATCCCCATTCAAACATGGAAACCCACTGGGTGCCTTGAGCAAATCACACTCACTCAGCTTCAAGATGAAAGCAAATGCAAACCCCCTTTGAACAATACTTGCCAAGAAAACCCGAGTGATAGGTTCACTTTAAGATCACCTTAAGTCAAAAATGACTTGGAAGCACACAATAACAACAAGGAAAGGTTTGGTGGGTACATTTTAAGACTAAGTAGTGCTGGCTGATTGATTCTGGGAGCTTTAATCCAAAAAAATTAATAAATTCCAAATCAAACTAATCATGGCTACAACAGGGGTCACCAGGAAGTTAGGCTTTACTGACAGGCATCATACCAGTGATTGACAGACATCAGTAGCAGGTTTATTCTTCTAAGCTTGGTAGGCCACTGTTAGGTGACAGACCAACTAGACCCTTGCGATCTGTTTCAAAGAGGTAAGTCTCTCATTCTTAAATTGGTTTGTTCCTTGAATCTCTTTGTGTTTTTAGAAGCAACAGGACCTACCACTTCCTGAGGAAAAGAGTGTCCCCAGTGGCATTGAAACACTCTGGCATTCCATTCTGATAAGAATATACTTGTCCTTAATAGCCAAAAGCACTAGGAACTACACTCGGGAAGCATCACTAGGAGCTCTGCAGAACCTCACAGCAGGCAGTGGACCAGTAAGTATGAGAGAGGGGATTATCACTTCTGTTCAGTAGTATTCTGGTAACATTTGAAGTTCAGGGGATTATCATAGTAGTTCCCATAATAATTAGGACATCCAAAGAGAGTCTAAAAATGCAAGCAGCAATGGTTGTCCTCTCATTTAAATTTTTAGCAATTTGATCTTCTTCAAGAGCAGTCCGGAGGAGGGCAACCAAAATGGTGAAGGGTCTGGAAACTGTGCCTTATGAGGAGAGACTTAGGGAGCTAGATATGTTGAGTTTGAAGAAGAGGAGGTTAAATAAGAGGTGATATGACAGCCCTGTTTAAGATGGAGCAAGCTTGTTTTCTGCTGCTCCAGAGAATAGGACCCAAAACAATGGATGCAAGCTACAGGAAAAGAGATTCCACCCCAACATTAGGAAGAACTTACTTACAATAAGAGCTGCTCAGCAGTGAAACACACTCCCTTGGAGAGTGATGGAGTCGCCTTCTTTGGAGGTTTTTAAACAGAGGCATGGCAAAGAACTGGATGGTCCTTGTGGTCTCTTCCAACTCTATGATTCTATGATTCTAAGAGCAGATCTTGTAATTCAAACTACTGGTGATGACCTATAAAGCCCCACACAGCTCATATCCAGGTTGTTTGAAGGGCCATATTCTTCTCATATGAACCTGCCTATGGGTTTGACATCTTCTGGGCAGACCCTTCTCTCTCCCTTCCTGTCCCCCATCTTCACAGATACAGGTGGTAATATGAGAGAGGGCCTTCTCAGTAGCTGCTCCCAGGCTCTGGTACACCCAAAGCGGTTAGACTGGCACCCTCTTTACTATCCTTCCAAAGGCAGGTGAAGACCGTTTTGTTCCAGTAGGCCTTTGAGAATTAATTTTTCAGGGGAAACAAGCCTGTATAATGTGCTGGGCTTTCATTTGTTGTTCTTAATGGTTTACATTTTTAACTGATTTAATTTTTTTGATAGTTTAACTCAGGGGTAGGCAACCTTTTTGAGCCGGGGGCCAGGTTGCTACCGGGGGCGGGGGGGGGCGAAGCACCATAAATAAATAAATAAATAAATAAATAAATAAATAAATAAATAACTTTTTAAAAAAATTAAAAATATATGCACGCACACTCTCTCAGCCCCAGAAAAGCCATGGCAACCCCCCTGTGGAGATTTTGCCAAGAAAACCAAGAACAAGTAATAACAGCAATAATCGATATCGTGGCGGGGGCGGCGGCGGCAGGACTGGCCTGGGGCCAGTCCAAAGGCCTCGGGGGGCTGCATCCGACCCCCCGAGGCCTTAGGTTGCCTACCCCTGGTTTAACTAGTGTTTCCTTTTTTAATGTATGCTGTGGATGTTAAAGTATGTTTTAACTGCTGTAAGCAACC